TTATCTGTAATTTTTTTTGAAATAAAACAACATTTTAGTACCATCTCCTTCTTTATTGGAACAGCCTTAAACACAAAAATACTAGAAAAACGTATTGAAAAAAAAAACAATAAAAAATAAAAAGTTTATAATACTGCAAATAAAATTCACTAATTCCACACGCAGCAAAGTCTCTGAGAATAAAGTGGTGATGGCATGAATTTAGAAGCTTCCACTGCAGTAATACCTATGCTATAAATGAAGGTATATTTTTAGGAATTTTGGTCTTATTTGGTGCACAAACCAGACTTCATGTGAATGTCAAACAATGGCGAATAAAAACCACCACTAATCCCATTTCCACAAGCATTTCCACTATGGGCGCGTTTGGGTTGACGATCGGTGCACTCAGAGCGTGCACTTTTGTCTCTCTTCCGTTATTTTTGGAGCTCCGACAACGCTTGATTGTGTTTGGTTTGACATATTTTGAGCGCTCCGAGCGAGCTCGATAAACTCCGAGTTTGTGGAGTGGGCAGCTGGAGCGTGCATGCGAAGATCAAATGTGTTCGCTTTTAATTGAATTTTCTCGGTAGTCATCATTACTGGCATTATTGAACATATTTTTCCAGGGGAACTTGGCAGCCTCAGAGTGTTTAGGTCCATTTTATTGTTTAAAGTCCGTCGATTTTAATCTGATACTCGGAAGGAATGTGAGCTGGTGGCACCCTACATTAGAACTCCAATGGTCACCGGTCGCCACACCTGTTTTTGCTATATATTTTACCCCCTCGCCCCTCATACCGCAAGTGTCAGATAAAAATCGACGAACAATATGTAGCACGATATTTTTAGTAGAACACAAAAGAAAATGGGGCTGTTTGAAAATTATCGACTAAAATGAAAAATAAACGAGAAAACTCTGGTGCGAATGCGGAGTGCGGGCTCGGACTCCAAAAAATATATCCTAAAAAAATAAACAATAATCAGCTGATCGCTCAACTCAGCACTTTTGCACGAGTTTATTTGGCTTGACACGGTGTACCCCCTATGACGTCACGTTACTCCGTAATCGCTCTGCTCGCTCCGCCGAGCGTCAACCCAAACACGCCGTATGTTTAAATGTAACATAAAGTCTCTTTTTTCAAAAACATATTAAAAAGTCAAAGTTTTATCAAAAATTGATAGGAAATTAAATTAAAACTAACACTGATCAAACGGCTAACTGATGACAAACACATTTGACTTTGTGCACATTGACAAATTATATTCACCATTCACAGTTCACAGATGACATTTGCTTGTGGCTTTGTATACTAGCGCCGCATAGCTTTGGCAGTCATGAAGCTCCACACGTGTTATTTTTGTGACAGCTCCGAACGAACATTATACAGAAGTTTCCTATCTTTAGGACGGGTTAATCTGTGAGCAATGTTGCCAAAGCTACCCCGTTCGGGGTAGATCTACCCCTTTTGAAAACAATCTCGCCCTTCCGCTCCCCTCAACTAAATCTGCCCCGCTCTTAATACAATCTATGTTATAACACAAAAAGAATGCGTCTGCTTATCGCTAATTACAAAATCCAAATTATGAGAAAATATTTATTTTATCTGAACTGTACCTATGCAACGAGTTTTTTGTCTACGCCTCCTATGTAACTTCAGTTAGAGATTCCTTTGAGTGTCTCCTTTGAATTTGTGTGGTAATTGAAAAAAAATGCGGGGCAACCAAATGAGGTCGGCAAATGAAGAGGAAAATGAGAACGGGAAATATTTCCCTGCTCATTTTTCCGTTCGTGGACGGGAAATGAGGACGGAAAAAATTTCCCGTCCTCACTTCCCGTCCTGGGACAGGTAATGGAGCAGGAAAATGAAAAGACAGAAATGTGATATTTTCAAATTTTTGAAAAGTCAGTAATGACAACATTTCATATATGGTTAAAAATAAAGATTATAGTTATTCACCTAACAACGTCAAAAACGCATCTGTTATAAAATTTAAGCTATATCATTAGCAAAGCAGTCTGCTTTACCGCACACTACGCGATGAAGTGAATACCGCACACTTTGCAGGTTATTTTAACGCAGACTATGCTTGACTCCTTGCCCTTGAATTGCAAAATAATTTTATGTGGTGACTAAATATAAATTTTTCCTGTGTGTGCGCTGCTCAAGAATCTCTCCAGTCCATTTTCGACTCCTTTGGGATTGTGATGCATGTAAACTCTCCAACCAGAATAACCAAAACTAGTTCTACTACCATTGACTATGTCGCTTCATCTTTTGATCCAGAATTGGTCAACTGTTCTATTTTTAGTGTAGGGTTTTCTGACCACGAAGCACTATTAACGAATTTCTCATTGAATTCCTTACGTAATGGTGCTTCCCGCAAATTGGGCAGAATATTTTCGGATGGAATTTTTTTAAATTTCAGTCAACTTTGCTTATCAGTTGACTGGGTCGTCAACTCAGATGATGTTGACTCCGAGTTCTCTAGATTCATAAATACCCTATCTGACCTGGCGACTAAATCCTTTCCTCTCAGACCCATCAAAGTCAAACGGCATAAACCATGGTCCACTAGTGGCTTGCGTACTTCTGGAAAAAATATGCGATCCTTGTCTCATCTAAAAAAATTCTCGGATAGCGTCTTCTTCAATGATTACGTAAAATTATACCGAAAAGTCTATCAGAAAACCATAAAAGCCGCCAAAGACATTTATTATAATAGGAGGCTGGCAAACTCCAAAAATGTTGCAAAAGAAACATGGTCAATTGTTAATGACTTGAGGAATAAGGCTTCTTCATCTAGCAAAATTCCTACTTCACCTGAGATCCTTAACGATTACTTTGTTGATGTGGCTAAGAATTTAGTGAATACCTTAACTCCTACCCAGGACCCACTTTCATATCTCCCGAATGCTAAGGTGAACTTACACAGTTTCTTCTTCACGCCTGTAGTAGTTCCAGAGCTTCGCAGTACAATCAAAGATATTAAAAACAAATCTTCATCTGGGACTGATGGACTCACCCTCAAAATGTTCTCTAATCTTCCTGATTGCACATTAAAACATCTTACTACTCTGATCAACAAGTCGTTTCTAAATGGAGCTTTTCCAAACTGTCTTAAGATGGCGATAATTAATTATCCCACTGCATAAGGGAGGTGATAAGGAGCTACCTTCAAACTATCGCCCCATTGCACTCCTTCCTACGCTATCAAAGATCATAGAAAGATTGGTTAAAAAGAGGCTTCTATCATTTCTCTCTAAATATAATATTCTAACTACCAGTCAATTCGGTTTCCTAAGTAACAAATGTACTAATAATGATGCAATGTTTTCCCTTTTCAATAATGTATACTCCAGCCTGAACTGCCACCACTCTACAGCCTCAATTTTCTGTGATTTGTCCAAAGCTTTCGACTGTGTTAATCATAATATCTTAATTAACAAATTACAGTTCTACGGTTTCAGAGGAATGGCTCTCGAATGGTTTAAGTCTTATCTTGGTAACAGAAGTCAGCTTGTGAGGGTGGATTCGACCATGTTCTCTTGTAAACCAATTGAATGTGGTGTGCCTCAGGGTTCAGTTCTTGGCCCTATTTTGTTCCTGCTATTTATTAACGACATTGCTAGTCTGGATATTAGCGGCAAAGTTTGTCTCTTCGCAGACGATACTAGTTTCACTTGGAGCAACCCGGATATTACGGAACTCCATAGAACCGTATCTAGTGACTTAATCACCATCAAATCATGGTGTGACTCAAATCTCCTGTGCCTCAACCTCTCTAAAACCAAAGTTTTATCTTACAGAGCTTCGCTCCAATCTGTAGTACTGGATAACAATACCATGGAGGCCGTTGATTCCGTGAAATTTCTGGGGCTTGTTGTTGATAAATCTCTAAAGTGGGACCTGCATATCGACGCCTTAGCAAAGAAATTAAGTTCGGCCTGTTTTGCACTGAGATCTGTTTCCAGGGAGCTTAACTCGGCAACTTGCAGGATGATATATTATGCTCTTTTTGAGTCGCATTTACGTTACGCCCTTCCATTCTGGGGCACGTGTTGTGCGTCTCAATTTGAACGCATTTTTAGACTGCAGAAGAGAACTCTTCGTTATTCTTTGGGACTTGGTAGTAGAACTGACTGCCGGGAATTTTTTTATCAAGTCTAGTAATATATTGACTCTTCCATCTTTATTTATTTTCGAATCCGTCTGCTTAATTCGTAAGCACTTAATATCAGCTATCTCAGAGAGGCCATCTCACAATTATCCACTGAGGAACGCAGAGTTGGATCTTTATCTGCCAATCCCGCGCTCAGAGTTAGTTAAAAGTTCAATACTTTATAATGCTAAAAAAATGCATAATCATCTACCGCCTAACATCAGGTCCATTGCATCTTTTCTCGAATTTCGCAGGGCGTTGAAGGTGTATTTACTGAGGAGAGCCTTGTACACAGTAAGCGAGTTGTTTATGGTTTCCTAATTCTAAATTTTGAGCAGCTTACTCACAGGTTTTGTTTTTGTTCCTGTATCATGATAGGTTATTATAAGTTATTGTTTGTTTGTTTTTTTAGTACCTATAATATGCTTACTCGCACAGTATAAGCAGTTAGACCTAGATTTTTGTTTGTTAGTTTTAATCAAATTTTGACCATGAACTATTTGTTCAAGTGTTTGGTTTTGTCTGTGCTTTTGCATTTGTATGTTTTGTTTTTTATTTTTTCAGCTTTGTCCACAAAATTGTAAAATTTTCTGACAATAAAGCAAATTCTTTCTTCTTTCTTTCGGTAAAGTAACTTTACCGCATAGTGTGCAGTAAAATGCTAGTATTTGCACGCTTGTAGGTGAAAATTTTGTTGCTACCCCGCTCTGATTATATTCTACCCCGCTATCTTGCCGTAATCTGCCCCAATAAAGAAAGAGCTTGTGGCAACACTGTCTGTGAGTGATGTGAGGGATACCTACCACTCGACTTTGAGCGGTATGTTGCGGTTTGTTAAACCGGAGCAACATGAAAGGGTTATCGCCAGTGAACGAGTCAACATAACCAAAAAACTTTAAAATTAAAATAGTTCAAAACAAAACCAAAACATTGGTCAATCTAAATAATAATAAAAATAAATGAGACACATTGATCAAGTTATTGCGGATATTAATTGAAATTACATTTAAAATGGACCAACAAACAAATCCGTATCGAAAAATGATCGCTGCAGCTGTTTCGAGTGTATTGAAAGAATCTGGTTTTGATACTGTGGAGAAAGATGCTCTTGGATCTTTGACTGAAATGATGCAGGCTTGTAAGTTTGATAACTTATCTTCAAGTAATTTCATTTTGGTCTATTAATATTTTTTATTCTTGCTAGTTATCTCAGAAATTGGCCTCGTGAGCAGAAACTATTGTGAATTATCTGGCAGAGTGGAACCCCTAATTGCAGATGTTATCCTAGGATTCACAGAAATGGGTAATGGGTAATGTATATTATAAATGCAGGATTTCTGTTTGGGGTGATGTTGAGTTCCATTTGTTCAGCATACATTTTTTTGAGTATTTATACTTTTGAAACTAAGGTTTGGTTTGTGCATTGCAAGTTTATAAAAAAAAAACAACTAAGTACTAAGTTAGGAATTACCATACCTATATATATAATTATCGGTCTATAACGTTCTACGTCTTCCGATTCCCGATCTCTAACCATCTCTGTCAATCCAGGCATCCTTTTTTAAGCCTTTGTCTCTCATTTCCTTGTCTACTCCGCTTCTCCAGCTTCTTCTTGGTCTGCAGAGTCTTCTTCCCCCTGGGCTGATCTTTAGTGGCCAGACTTCTGAACTATACGTGTCTATGCTTTTGACTATGGTGTTGTAGATTCTCGTTTTGTTAGTTTTGTTGATATTTTGATCCCACTACACCATTCAGTAGGGATATTGCTTTGCGTTCTTGTATATTCCGATCTTTAATTGCTTCTTCTAGGGTTCCCTCATGTGAGATTTTCATGCCCAAATATTTGTATTCAGTACATTGTTTTATTTCTTGTCCGTTATTCAATTTCAGATTTCGTTGTTCACCTCCTATAGTCATATATTCTGTTTTCGTTAGATTTACTTGCAAATCCCATTTCTCGTACTCCTCTATCAATTTTCGTGTCACGTACTCTGTCATCATAGTCCTGTGCAATTACTACTTGATCATCTGCAAAGGGTAAAGTATGAAGATTGTATTCATTGAGCGGTATTCCCATGTGTCTATATTTGTTTTTCCACCCTTTGAGCGCCTGTTCTAAGTATATTTTAAAAAGTGTTGGTGATATGCAGCATCCCTGTTTAAGTCCTTTAGTTGCTATAAAGGCTTTACTGATTAAGTTTCCCTGTTTAATCTTGGTCTTTGCATCACTATAGAGCGTTTTTACTGCCTTTATTAGTTCTAAGTTGATATTGGTCTTTTCCAGTGCTTCCCAAAGCTTTTTCAGTGGAACATTGTCGTATGCTTTCTTTAGATCGACAAAAAGTGAATGGAGTTCTTGGTTATAGGCTAGTTTTTTTTCTATTACCTGGGTCAAACTAAATAAATGGTCTACAGTTGATCTTCCTGCTCTAAAACCGGCCTGTTCTTCTGCTTCACTATCTTTATACTCATTCTCTATTCTGGCTTTTATAAGTTTTCCATACACTCTGCTCAGCGTATTTGTTACTGCAATTCCTTGGTGGTTCTCGCATTTGTTTCTGTCTCCTTTCTTATATATCGTTGTTTATCTATGCATGTTTGAAATATTTTTGTTAAATGTTTGTAGAGTTTATTGGTCCCACACTTTATCAGTTCTCCATATATTTCTCCTGGACCTGGTTCCCTACCATTTTTCAAGAAGCTGCAGTGTTTTTTAACTTCTTCTTGCATAACTTGTATTGGTGATCCTGCAGTTTTTATGTTTCGTGTCTGTTCCTTTTCTTCTTTAAACTCTGCCCGCTGTTCTGTCAATAATTCTTCAAAGTACTCTTCCCATTGCTGGGGTGTTATTGTATTGATAATATCCTTAGTTTGTTTTCCTCATGTTTTTGAGTAACCTCCAACCATTATTATATTACCATATTACCATAACTAAGAAATCAAATAGTTTAGGTCATGGGAAGTAGTGTTGCCGTTCATAAAACCCATTTCAGAATTAACAACTAAAAATTAAAGTTGGTCAATTTTTAACTTGTTCTCCAGTTGTTCATACTTCTTAAATGAAAATTCAAATGCTCATGCGTCTTTGGTTGGCGCGCTGTCGGTTGATACCTACTTGAAGATATTCAAGCTGAGTGTATACTACTAACTCTTACGCTTTTCAGCATTATTTTTGCAAAATAATTTTCCACTATCAATAAATATTGTGAACAAGATGGGAACAATAATTTATTTGTTATCAAGAGAACTGGATCATCCACCATCTTACATCCACTGAATTGAATTAATTAACCATCAGTTATTGGGTTAGGTATTACTAGTGATGTGAGTCGAGAATATTCCCATACGAATATTCGCGAACATTGGGAAATTTCCGAGAATATTCGCTGATAAAAAATGGAAACGTTCTCCTGAATGAGAATATTCCCGGAAACTTTCAATCAAAAACTCTCAAAAGAATATTTCCGAGAACTTTCGAGAATATTTCCAAGAACTTTCTAGAAGAATTTTATGAAAGTGCGAGATTATTGCAATACAAGGTCTCAGTGACGTCATTTCAATTTATGTGGATGACGTAGCCCAGTCCAACTGTCTCTCTCGGAAACGCTGATCCGATTTACCCGATCATGAGCTGATAATAATAATAATAATAAAGCCTTTATTCATAATTAAGGTGCGAGGTAGTAATAAATAACAACAAATGAGACGGCGAGATCTAGCTTAGCTATTCTATCTAACCGTCTGTACCTACAGTTTTTTTTTTTTTTTAAATAATCTTGATTGAAGAAAGATAAAAAATAAAGAGCTGAGAGATTGGGTTAATCGGATCAGCTTTTCCTTTACAGCCTTATTCAACTATCCATAAAAGTGTTTTTCTCAGTGTTTTTATTTACTACATATAGTTCATACCAAATAAACTTATAGTTGGGTTGTCAAGCTCGGTCAGCACAGCGTTGCCGTCTCTTGCATATTTTCCTTATTTGGTCAAAATATTTTCAGAAACAATAATGGATTATATTATAATATAATGCAAACATTATTTATTACCTAAATTATAAACATTGTTTCAAAGCTTGGTTTGATAGATATTCAATAACAACTCATTTGCCAATCATCACTTAAAATATAATAGTAACGCTCAGTACCTTTTTTATTTACAGCCACTCTATATACTATAAATAATTAAACATTATGAATATTTGGACCATCAAGAATATTTTCAATTATTCTGATTCTGATTTTCCCATGATAGTCGTTGAGTTTTCGATGAAAGTACCAGCGATGCACCTTCAATGAATCCTATTTTCATTGCCAGTATGAAGTATGATCTAAAAAAAGCATTTCATTTATACACATAATACAACTGCTCTCTGTATTCATGAAAGAAAACAAACTGGTACAAAGCCTCCTGCTTAAGTCTTAGATAAGACCTCAAAACCATGCCGTTCTGCTTGCTAAGTTTGAAAGTGCTGGAATCTCCGGTACTTTGTTGAAGTGGATTAGCGACTATCTTGGGGAGAGAACTCAAATAATCAAAGTTAACAACTTCTTCTCACACGAAATTGACATCCCATCGGGCGTTCCACAGGGTTCTCACTTGGGACCTCTGCTGTTCAACGTTTTTATTAACGATATCAAGTCTTGTTTTATTAACAGTAAGTTCCTGTGCTTTGCGGATGATTTAAAGGTGTTCACCCGGGTCTCTTCTATTGAAGACTGTGCCAGACTACAATCTGACCTCGACAGACTCTCTGAGTGGTGCGCTTTGAGCGGCATGGAGCTCAATGCTTCCAAAGGCAAAGCCATTGTTTTCTCCAAGGGTCGTAGCCCTCCACAATTCGCGTACCATATAAACAACATTCCGCTTGAAACTGTCTCACAACAACGAGATCTTGGTGTCATTTTTGACAGCAGTCTCAATTTTATCACCCATATTTCAGACATCACAACAAGGTCGTTAAAACTTGTAGGCTTCATTAAGAGGTGTTCGAGAGATTTTACAATTATAGATTCTATCAGATACCTTTATTACTCAATGGTGAGGACCCTGATGGAGTACTGCTCCTCTGTCTGGTCACCAATGTATTCTAATCATATCAGAGCCCTAGAGCTAGTGCAGCGCAAATTCGTACGTTATTTAGCCTTCAAGGCAGGTATTCCTTCGCCTGAGAACTATGTATATGACTATGACGACCTATACAGACGCTTCAATCTACAACCCTTGGCAGCTAGACGCAATCAAAGAGATTTATATACTTTTTACAAGTGATTCCGCATACCTACTGTCCAGAATAGGGCTTCACGTCCCAGCAAGGGACACCCGCTCTGCCATAACCTTCTCAGAAAGAAATCACCGTACAAACTATGGTTTCAATACATTCATCTCCAGAACTTCTCGATTATGTAACACCCATGGTAGCCTGGATTTTTTTGGACCCATAAATAGCTTTAAAAGAGAGCTTAACTCTCTAATGTAATTCTCCTCGTTTATTTGTGATACCAAGTTCGATAGCTAAGAATTTCTAGTCATCTTGATCAGTCATTATTTATGTTTGTCCTCTATTTTCTTATACCTATAACTGATTTAATGTTTTACTGTTAATAATTTATATGTATTTTTATCCTGTTACTATGCCAAGTATTACTGGCCTATGTTTATTTAGTTGTAAGGTACTTAATGTTTCTTGTTGTTTTTTTTTCTTTTGAAACTTTTAATGGGTCTTGCCCGTAAATAAATAAATAAATAAATAAATCAATGCAAAAAAGGAAGTAATGTCGCACCCCGTAAAAGCGACGCAGTGCTTACGATTTTTCTCAAATAGAAATAGAATTAGAATATATTACTTGTTCTGTTGTATTTACAATACATGTGCCTTTGTGGCATAGAACTTGTCATTTTTTTTTTTTTCACAATAAATTAAAAACCTAAATTAAAACTAAAATCGTACATACTACATATAACATATATCTAAGTAAAGAACAACAAACAACATGAAATGAAAGTGAAAATTACCCCGTTTTACACAAAATCTGAGGAGACACATGGACACTCTCTTTGCTAGTCACAGGAGTGTGTTTTTCGTTTCATCATCAAAATATTCCTGTAGGCCATAATATGATTTTTTTTTTTTAGTTGGTTTTCAATTTATTTGTTGTTTTTCTTTCTAAAACTTAAAGGCAGGCAGTTCCAGATTTTTGTTATTGTGAAAGTGACATTTTTTTGCAAATAAGAGAAGTGTGGTGTACCAGTTTTTAAGTTATCTTTTTGCCTTGTATTGTGTTCGTGGGACCTTTTTTGGTGAT